CCAGATTGCAAGAGACACAGGAGAGCAGAAGTAGACAACTGCTTGTAGGCAAAAAACAGGTTTCTCCCACTTTATTTCTCCCTGTGACTGATTTCAGCTTCAAAGGTTATTTGTCCTGGGATGGGAACATATTGTCCCCCTGGAGTTACTCCTTATTTCAGCTTCAAAGGTTTATTGTGCCCTGGACTGGGAACACATTTTCTCACCAGAGTTACAATCAATAATAACTAAGGCAATCATATATTGGAAAACTTACATTGCCATTACCAAGAATTATTATAAAGCTGGGTAATTAAGACAGTCTGACAGGAAGATTTGAGAAATACACAAGTAGAATACAGACTCCATAAATAGATCTACACATTTATTATGGTATCTTGATTAATGAAAAACTAACAGCTTACAGACTATAGTTCTCTCAATAAATAATGTGGAGTCAATGGAATACCCATATAGAAAAATAGAATTTGACTCCTGCACATCCACAAAAATCCCATCTGGGTAACAGGTAAATGTAAATACGAAAGGTAAAACAGTACAGCTTCTATACAAGAGTGTAGAATATAATCTTTGTGACTTTGTAGTAGGTATATATTTTTTAAAGAGACCACATGAAACATTGTTAAATTTTTGTCCTATCTCAAATTGAGGACTTATGCTAATCAAAAATACTATTTAAGAGACTGAAAATGCACACTATAAAAAAACTGAAATACATATATCATGCAAAAGACCCACATCCAGAATAATTTTTAAATTCCTACATTAAAACAAAATAAAACAGAAAAGGTCAGGTAACCTAACAGAGAAGCAGTCAAAAGACTGGAACACAGGGACACAGGGAAGGCAGTTCTAGGAGGAAAGTATATGGCAATACAGGCTTGTCTTAAGAAGGAAGAACAATCTCAAATGAACAGTCTAAATTCACAATTAATGAAATTAGAAAAAGAAGAACAAATGAGGCCCAACATCAGTAGAAGGGAGGACAGAATAAAGATCAGAGCAGAAATAAATAAAATTGAGAATAAAACAATAGAATCAATGAAGCCAGGAGCTGGTTCTTTGAGAAACTAAACAAAATACGTAAACCCCTAGCCAGACTTATCAAAAAAGAGAGTGTACACACATAAACAGAATCAGAAATGAGAAAGAAAAAAATCACTATAGATACCACAGAAATACAAAGAATTATTAATGAATACTATGAAAAATTATATGCTAACAAACTGGATAATCTAGAAGAAATGGATAACTTTCTAGAAAAATACAACCTTCCAAGACTAACCCAGGAAGAAACGAAATATCTGAGCAGACCAATTACCAGCAATGAAATTGAATTGGTAAACAAAAAAGTACCCAAGAACAAAACTCCTGGACCAGATGGCTTCACTCCTGAATTTTAAGAGACATTTAGAGAATATATAATACCCATTCTCCTTAGAGTTTTCCAAAAAATAGAAGAGGAGGAAGTACTTCCAAACTCATTCTATGAAGCCAGCATCACTTTAATACCAAAGCCAGGCCAAGACACCACAAAAAAAAGAAAACTAAAGACCAATATCCCTGATGAACATAGATGCAAAAAAAATGCTCAACAAAATATTAGCAAACCAAATTCAAAAATACATCGAAAAGATGATCCATCATGATTAAGTGGGATTTATTCCAGGGATGCAAGGATTGTACAACATTCGAAAATCCATCAACAACATCCACCACATCAGCAAAAGAAGGGCAAAACTACATAATCACCTCAGTAGATGCTGAAAAAGCATTTGACAAAATTCAACATCATGATGATAACTCTCAACAAAATGGGTATAAAGGACAAGTACCTCAACATAATAAAGGCCTTATATGACAAACCGACAGCAAATATCATACTTAACAGTGAAAAGCTGAAAGCTTTTCCTCTAAGATTGGGAATAAGACAAGGATGCCCACTCTCCCCACTTTTATTCAACATAGTACTGGAGGTCCTAGCCATAGCAATCAGACAACACAAAGAAATAAAGACATCCAGATTGGTAAGGAAGAATTTAAAACTGTCACTGTTTGCAGATATCATGATGTTGTACATAAAAAACCCTAAAGAATCCACCCCAAAACTACTAGAATAACTGAATTCAGCAAAGTTGCAGGATACAAAATTAACACACAGAAATCTGTTGCATTCCTGTATATTAATGATGAACTAGCAGAAAGAGAAATCAGGAAAACAATTCCATTTATAATTGCATCAAAAAGAATAAAATACCTAGGAATAAACCTAACCAAGGTGGTAAAAGACCTGTATGAAAACTACAAGACACTAATGAGAGAAATTAAAGAAGGCATCAATAAATGGAAATACATCCCATGCTCATGGATAGGAAAAATTAATATTGTCAAAATAGCCATCCTGACTAAGCAATCTACTGACTCAGTGCAATCCTTATCAAAATACCAATGGCAGTCTTCAGTGAACTGGAACAAATAGTTCTAAAATCATATGGAACCACAAAAGACCCCAAAGAGCCAAAACAATCCAGAGAAGGAAGAATAAAGCAGAGGGGATTATGCTCCCTGACTTCAATCTCTACTACAAAGCCACATTAATCAAAACAATTTGGTACTGGCACAAGAACAGACCCATAGATCAGTGGAATAGAATAGAGAGCTGAGATGTAAACCCACACATATATGGTCGATTAATATATAATAAAGGATATAATGGGGAAATGACAGCCTGTTCAACAACTGGTGTTGGCAAAACTGGACAGCTACATGTAAGAGAATGAAACTGGATTATTGCTAAGTCTTTACACAAAAGTAAACTTGAAATGGATCAAAGACCTGAATGTAAGTCATAAAACCATAAAACTCTTAGAAGAAAACATAGGCAAAATTCTCTTGAATATAAACATGAGCAACTTTTTCCTGACCACATCTCCTCAGGCAAGGGAAACAAAAGCAAAAATGAACAAATGGGACCACATCAAACTAAAAAGCTTCTGTATGGCAAAGGACACCATTTGTAGAACAAAAAGGCATCCTACAGTATGGGAGAATATATTTGTAAACGACATATCTGATAAGGGGTTAGCATCCAAAATATATAAAGGAATGGGTTAGGGAGGGAACGGGTTAGGGTTAGGGATAGGGAATGGGTTAGGGTAAGGGTTAGGGTTACGATTAGGGAACGGGTTAGGCTACTGCTTCTGCCACTGCTGCTGCTCTTGCTGCCAGCCAGAGCCTGGCCACAATCATGGAAAGGCGCAGAGGTCCAGGTCACCTTGATAGAGAAGCAACTGGCTGCTGTGTACCATGGCTTGGTGGCTACAGAGCCCGTTGCCCGAACAGCTCTGACTAAGATACTAACCTCCTGTCCCATTGCAGAGTGCGAGACTGGACCCCAGACTGACAACTGGTGTAGTCGACAGGATTCCTGTGAACCTGAAATATGTCATTATTGGTGCAACCTTTGGGAGGGCTGCCCATAGAAATGATGGGGAGAAGTGGCGCTCATGCTGTCAGTCCAGGGAAAGGAAATCCCGGGGCAAAATACCTCCGAAAACTAAAATCAGTCAAAGGGAGAAATAAAGTTTAAAACCTGTTTATTTCTCAGAAACTGCAGTCTCAGTCTGTCTTTCTTCTCTGCTCCAGCAGCAACCACCCCAGCCCTCCCCCTCACCTCTCAGGTACAGATAAGCCCTCTGTTGCCCAGGTGATCACCCACTGATATGGAGATGAACTCCTCCACCCCTGAGGAAAGATGCAAATGCACTAAAGCCATACTTCTCTCCACCTCTGAAGGCCTAATCATATGCAGATATACTAAAGCCATGCAAGATATTCTGGAAATGTTTATTTTACCCACAATACAACAGTCTGGAAACCTGTTTGGTAGTAATTCCTAAAACTGAACATATACATACTCTATGTCCAGTCAATCCACTGTTAGATATATAATTAATAAAAATACACATTGTGTGTACCCCAAAAATATGCACAAGAATGTTTGCAACAGCATGGTATAGAATAACCCCAAACTGGAAACAATGCTCACATCCATAAACAGTGCAAGAGATAAGTAAGCTGCCTTATTAACACATAACAACATATTATTCAGGAGGAAAAATGAAGAAACTACAGCTACAAATCTCAAAAACATAGTGTTGAATGAAAGAAGCTGGACGGAAAAGAATGCCTGCTGTTGATTTCAATTATATAAAGTTCAAAACCAGGTAAAAATCAAGGATGGGGTAACTTTCAGGAGAAAGCTGATAGTGGCTATGAAAAGGCCCACCTGGGGGCTCGCTGCGGCGCTGGGAATGCCTGTTTCTTGATGGATGGTGATAACATGGGAACATTCACTTTTCAAAACTCATCAAGCTGCACTTATGATTTCTGAGCTTCTGTTTATGTATGTATTTTTAAAAACAAAACAATGTGGTAGCTGCCAGAGAAGCAGCTGCGGCAGCTTCCCTTGAGGCTCCAGAATACAACATCTGCAACTTCATGATGAAAGGCAATGGGGAGAATGATTTGAGATGCCTCTGTGTACTTTTTCAGGAGTATTTTCGGAGGCATAGCTATTCCATAAAATATACCTGCGATTGCTAATAATCTTTTTATGTGAGTGTCATGTAATGATTTATAAGAAATATGTGTTTGGTTTTTCAGAAGACCAAAATATATTTCTCAGATATATTTGTCTTCATCCACACTTTCTTAAAAGTGCTTCAGAGTCTTAAGGTGAAGTGGGCATCTTGTTATGTTAATGAGACTCTGAGACACCCCCCCCACCCTCCACCCAAGGGCAGAGGCCCGTTGCCTGTGAATAGAGTGTGGGAAATTTCAGCCCCCCATACCTGGGAGTGGGGAGGGCAGGGGGTCTAGAGGTTGATTAGCCAAAGGCCAATGGCTTAGTCAATCACAACTAAATAATGAAGCCTCCTTAAAAACCCAAGAGAGCCCTTTTTACCCCTGCCCCTTTTTTTCCCTTTCCCGTTTTTCAGAGCGCTTCCACACTCAGGGAACCAGAATGCTTCTGCCTGCCACTGACCCTGGTCCCAGGCCCCCCAGAAGGAAGCTCTTTTTTTGGAGGCCTTGCCCTGTGCATCTCTTCATCTGGCTGTTGGTTTGTATCCCTTATCATATCCTTTAATGAACTGGTAAGTGTGCTCGAGTTCTCTGAGCTGCTCTAGCAAATTAATGATGCCTAAGGAGGATGTTATCGGACCTTCCAATCTGTAGCCCATCTTCAGAAGCACAGGTAACAGCCTGGAGACTGGTCTCTGAAGTGGGGCCTGGGGGTCAGTCTTGCAGGACTGAGCCCTTAACCTGTGGAATCTGACACCATCTCCAGGTAGGTAGTGTTGGAATTGAGTTCATTTTTGTATACCTTGCTGGTGCCTGAGAACTGGTGTTGTGTGTGAGGGAGCAGAACCTATCTAGTGGGTGCACTAGTTTCCTATACTGTCCTATACTAGATTCCTATACAATCTCCATGACTTACAACAGAAGTTTATTCTCTTATGATTCTGGAGGCCAGAAGTCCCAGATCAGTTTCACTGGGCTAAAGTCAAGGTGTCAGCTGGGTTTTGCTCCCATGAAGGATCTCTTTCCTTGCCTTTTCCAGCTGCTAGAGCTGCACTCCTTGCATGTCTTGCCCTTTGAGCCCTTCTTTCATCTCTCAAGCCAAATCTGTGTCTGCTTCACTGTAACTCAAGGGGGAAAATCCTGGGGCAAGATACCTTTGAAATCGAAATCAGTCAAAGGGAGAAATAAAGTGGGAGAAATCCGTTTCTTTCTTACAAGCAGTCCATTTCTGCTCTCCCTTGTCTCTCACAACCAGGCTGCAGAAGAAGAGGCCCCCACCCAACCTCTCTGGTCTAGATAAGCCCTCACTGGCCTTTGTAATTACCTACTGATATGGAGATGGACGAGGCCCGGCTAGAGATTCTGGAAATATTGCAATTTTACCCACATTCAGTCACACTGCCTTCTCTGTGTAATTCCTTCTGCCGCCCTCTTCCAAGGACATGATGTTTAAGGCCCACAAAATTAACTCAGGATAATCTCTGCATCTCAAGATCCTTAATGTAAACACTGGCTGAATCCATATTGCCATTCAAGGTAACAGGCACAGGTCCCAGGGATTAGGACCAGGTATCTTCAGGAGGCATAACAGAGCCTACCACAGTCAGGAAGCTGAAGAGTAACAAGTCCGATCAATACCCAGGAAGAATGTCACACCATAGCCTTTTAAGGGCTCCATTTTGCTTTTACTGCAGCTGATAATTTTTTGTGTGTGTGGGGATAACATTCATTCTCGCTCAATTTCAACTCAGGAACGAAATGACACTTTACATTAACTATTAATCATCATGTGCCAGTTTGCCTGGCTTCAGGGTCTCTCTCTGCCAGTCTCTTACTCTCTCCACCTACAGCTCTACCATCTGACTCACAGCAAGCTGTGCTCTGGCCTGGGCCTCCACGGTTTGCTCCCCATCTATCGGCTGTTGCGCCCTCAGTTCTAAGCACCTCTTCATGAAGAATGTAGCGTGTGTCATGGTACGTGTTTCCAATTTGAATCGTGTCTCTGCTGCTCACCTATTGGAGATTTACCAAATTACTGATCTCTAATAAATTTCAGTGTGACCCACTGTATAATAATAATGCTTCACAGGATGTTATAATGATTCAATTAAAAACTATACATAAAAAAACTGTCATAGATGAGTTCATCAATTAATAGTCACTTGGTCACTGTAATGTGATGTCTTTCTGACCTGGTGTATGTAGTCATAATAATGAAGTTGCATTTTCAGAAATTCCACATCAAAGCTGTTACTGATGTGCTTCATTTCAATCTAACCTGCTTTTATTAAGTATCTACTATGTGCTATGATTTGGGCACTGTAGGGGATATATTGCTGAATAGAATCAACCATGGTCTGGTCGGGAAAGCAGGTGTGTTAAGCTGGTGATGATTAAACACAGTGATTAGAGCTTCAAAAGCAAGAAAATTTGAATATGGTATTTGATATTAAAGAATTACTCATTTTAAGTGTGATAATAGCATGATTATATTTAAAAATCCTTATTGATTAAAAGATAGGTACAGTACTAGTTTCCTATTGCTGCTCTAACAAATTACCATAAATTTACTGATTTAAACCAACACAAATTTGTATTCTTAAAATATCAGAGGTACAAGTCTTAAATGAGTCTCTTGGGGCTAATATCAAGGTGTTGGCCATGGCTCAGGGGAGAATCCATTCTTTGCTCTTCCGGCTTCTAGAGGCTGCAGATATTCCTTGGCCAAAATTTCAGGGCTGCGGCCATATCACACCTATCTCTGCTTTCCTCTACGTTCCTCAGAAGGCATTCTCTGACACTGATCCTCTTTCAGCCTCCTATGAAGATCCTTGTGATTACATTGGGTTGACCTAGATAATCCAGGATAATCCAGGAAGATCCTTAATATAATTACATCTGCAAAGCCCTTTTTGCCTTGTAAATCCTCATATTTGCAAGAGCAAAGGGATAGGGAGGACCCCTTTTGAACAGGAATGGTGACATGCTTGTCAAACTTCCTGGTTTTCAGATTTACTGGTATGTTAAAACATGGTAGGAATAGCATGAGCATGCTGAGAGAGGTTTTGTCCCTTAAGGAAGGTACGATAGCAAATGAGACTTGGCGTTTTTCCAGGGATTCAGGAATCTCACCATTAATACTAAATTCTGTAAGGGTCTCACCTCACCCATGCAGCCTCCATCCCTTAATTCCAGGTAAGGCTCTGAATGTCCACAGGGGGGCACCCCTCACCCTTGTTCCGTTCCCTTTCCCGCAGATGCATCTGTTCACTTCCTGCCTCTTTTCACAGTCTTGCTTAGATTTCTCAGTATAGGTGAGGGTACATGTCTTGTCATTTTAAAGGGAAAATGAAGAGATTTTTTATGGTATACAGAGATCATATTTTTATTATAAAAGACAGAAAATGTTCCCACAATATTTTCTCTGAACACTGTTAAAACAATATACAAACCCAAAAGGAAAAAAATCCCTCAAGATTTCCTTCATGTAAATGATTGTAATTATTCATACTGCCAGCAGATGGCATTGCTCCATTAATTATAGTTGAGCATATCGTTAAACTAAGATGGGTTGTTCAATTCATAGAAGATTGGCAGATCTGTATATTAACAAGTGTTTACGGATCTTCTACAGAGTTAAAGGTTTCTATTCAGACTGGTTGCACTAGTTAATAAACAGACAAAAAGTGCTCTGATGCAGAGTACTCCTAGTGAAGTAACATGTGCAAGGAAGAAGAGAGAATTGCCCAAGCTCACCCTTTCTCACCTCGCTGAAAGTCACATTTCTGTGAGAAAATGTTGGAGTGGACGGAAGGAAAACAAAAGACAACAAAAATCCTCTTATAAGCCAGGAGATTTGAGGGAGGTAAAATAATTTGCCTAAACACACAACTAATAATTGTTAGATACAAGTCTGTTGACCCAACATTTTCTCTAACTTTTGTCACACTGACTCTCAAAGTGACAAATTCAGGACTTAAAAGAGTTCTAATCCTTTCCTGTCACTGACTCTTCATGGGTTCTTAAGACAAATCATTTAGTCTTTCTGGGCCTTCATTTACATTTTTGTAAAAATTAAGTCATTTGAACCATGTAAGAAGGTTCAAACAGTAGAGCTTTTTTTTAAAAAAAAATGTTATCCAAAAGTTCAAAACATCAAATAAAGTGCTTCAGTTAAAGGAGACCTGTTCCTCATGAGCTTCCATCTTTCTTCCCTTGAATTTGCTGCCTCCCTAGAGCACAGTTTGAAAACTCCCACCCTGCATGATCTCGCAAACACATACCAGTTCTAACCATTCATATGCCTCAATGCATTGAATTAAGTGTGAGTTAATAATCTCAAAAAGTGCTTGCTGCTTGGTTAAAAACAAACAAATAAAAACACCTTAATCCTGAAGATGGTGACAAACTGGTACAATCAATCATTGAAAACAAAGAGAAACTGATATTTAAGGCATTTTCAGTATTTTCAACACAGTATCTTCTGAATAATGGCAAGATCTTCACGTTTCACAGTGCTCACAAATACACTCAGCCATACTTCAGCTGTGGATATCCTCTGGCACGTGCTTTCAGAGGTGAGAAGGTTCCCTCGGAAGAACACTGAATCCGCTGTATTTAAGGATCATATACACAGGCTTTTGGATGGAGGAAGTGCCAAAAGCCAAAGGTGGGATGGCCTACTGCTGAATCATGGTGGATTGAGCCAAGGAATTCTGGAAATCACTCTACCACGTAGCCATAGGCAGCCGTGGGAAGGGCACCTTTAAGGTCAAAGGACTATGGGAGAGTGGCATAAGTCCTCCTGGCTTCACATCCAGCTCCATCACTTTGAACGAAAGTTACTTTGGTTCCTAAATTTTAATTCTGGATAAGAACAGTAACTAATTCCTAAGAATGATATAACCTCAGAAGGGCAAATAATAGTAGTGACATAATACTTGGTAGTCTATGAATACCAAGTAAAAGTTTCAAATTGCCTCTCATGTGAGTCTCACAAACGCCTCCAGGCTGAGTTCCTCTCTGACTCTCTTTGTCACCTTCCAATCCATTTTCCACACAACATATTGCGTGGCCTTTAAATTATATGTCAGGTCACATCACTCCATTTTTAAAAACCTTGAGTGATTCTCCCTAGCATTTGAGAGAAAATCTAAATTCCTCACTGACCTACCAGCCCTGCATCATCATCCCTGTCCATTCCAACCCCAGTTTGCCCCTTCTGACCTCACTGCATCCAAACTGGCCTCCCGACAGTTCCTGCAACAGTCCATGTTGTTTCCACTCTTGAGAGTTCTTATTATGCTTGCTACTCTTTTTTCTGGAAGACACTGGCATTTCCTAAAGTCTCAGCTAAGATATCCTCAGTGAGGTCTTCTTGGACCACTCAAAAGTATCAAGAATAAAGTGTGCTTTATTTCCTAGAACAGGGTTTGGAAAATTTGGACCAGGGGCCAAACCAGCTCACCATCCATTTTTTTATATAAATTTTATTGGAACACAGCCATGCTTATTCATTTATGTATCATCTATAGCTACTTTGGTGCTACAATGACTCAGCTGAATAGTTGAAAAGTCTAAAATATTTACTATCTAATTCTTTACATAAAACTTTTAGAACCCTGGGCTACAGTCTTACCATATTTATTCCTTTTATTACACCCATCATGGTGGCAATGTTTTACCTATTTTTTACTTTTCAATGTCTGTTGCTTCTTTCTCTCTGTGGGGTGAAGATCTTTCTGTCTTATTCTCTGTGACTTCTCCAGTACAGTGCCTAAAACAATTAGTGAATCTGTTAATACCATGAATCACATTTTTGAAGAAAACAATATTTATTGGAGAAAAATAATAGAATACAGAATCTCCATACTTACCATATCCAGTATACAATTCAAAAGGACCAAGAAAATGGAATATATTCTCAAGAGGAAAAAACAGGAGGTGTTGCCCACCGGCCTTTTTCATTATCTGTGTGGCATAAGAGGAAAAACAAGTTTTATGATGAACACATGCTTAAAGTCACACCTGCAAATGGCCAGTGAACCAATGAGTGAAATGCAACTTGAAGGAAAGTGGAAACTTAGAAGGCAGGGTGACTACTTAGTGATGAGACGGGAGTTCACCTGCAGAATTCTTCATATCCCTCCTTCAGACAAGGATGCACTCCCCACCAATTTCCCTCTGCTTCTTTTCATTTTCCAGTACCTTCAGGTAGTGGCTTTGTATCACATTCAAGTTTTATAGTTGTTTTCTTCAGGGTGAGTCATCCTACCGGGGTTTCATTCTATTCTACCCAGAAGCCAACCCTGGTTATTTTAAAGATTCTGTCTGATAGTTGACACAACTGAATCATTTCTATGTCTTGCTTTATAGTGGATTTCTCTCTTGACAATGGGTCGTTTTCCCTGTTTTTAATTTTATATATTTCATAATTTTGATGAATGCCCAATGTTGTGTGTAGAAGAATGATGAAAACCTGAGTTAAATAGCATTTATACCTGGTAGTGGGCACACCTCTTCTGTCTGGGCAACAATATGGTGGTTTGAGTTGATGTAGTCAGTAGTCGGGCTCTTTGATATTTTATGTTGCTGATATAACCTGACATGCACCATAGTCTTCAAAATCTGCCACAGTGTGTTTCTGTTACCTTATGTCTGGGAAATATGTACTGACGGCTTAGATGTGAAGATGAGCTTGCACATGAGTGTGAACTTACTCTGTGTGCAGCTTGTGGAGTCTAAGCTGATATGCTAGGTCACACTCTGCTTTACATAAATTTTTAGGTTTTTAGTTGATTTGATTTTACCCCTTTTTTACGGCAGCCCCCTTCCTTCTATTTTCTGTCAAAGATGAAACAATCCATGTGTCCCTTCTGTCCTCAAAGAGTCTTGTCCTCCTTTGGAAATCAGTCCACTTGTTGGGCTTACAACCGCAGCTCTCTGTTAGGTTCAAGAAAAGTGATTTTACACATTATCTGACTTTTCTCATTATTAGAGTAAAAGAGATTTCTGTTTCAATTTTCTCCATCTTCAGTAAATGCAGAACTCAGGAATCTACATTTTAACATGCATTTTTCACCCTACTCTCAAATGGGCAGAGACAAAACAATAATAATGCCAGTAAAGTTTTTTTAAAAAAGTCATTTTAACTGTTAGGTAGTAAATTTATTAACCTGTCTGAGAAGGATTTTGAAGATATGCAGAAAGGGCCTTAATGTTTGGGTACTATTTCCACTTCCAGTAATCTAATCAGAATGCTAACAAATACTCTTAGACAAGGACATTCATCAAACCATTATTTAGAATACCAAATAGTGGAAATAATGTAGGTGACCAAGGAAGTATTTTTAATAAATTCTGATCTACCCATATGAGGAAATAGTATGCAAATATATTAAAATCCTCCTCCAAAGAATATTGATTGGGACACTGGTCACAGTATAATATTAAGTATAAAAACCAGGACAATATATTGGATAATTCCAATTTTGTGATATATAGCCTATGAGAAACTTATCAGTCACAAAGGTTAAAATAGTAACTTTGTAGGGAAGAAATCTTGAAGGCATTATCTTTTTAAATTATTTTTTAGATTTTTACTTGTTTGAATTGAGGTGCATACAATCAAATGCACAAATCTTAACATACAGTTTGATGACTGTTGACATGTATATACATTCCTGTAACCATCACCCAGATCAAGATGGAGAACTAAAATTCTCATTAGTTTTTCCCTGTATCTATTTCACCCATTCCTCCACCCCCTCCCTTTGGTTACCACCAGGCTGTTCTCTGTGTTTACGCATCTATTTCAGTTTTGGTTTTTCCTTTGTTTTTTAGATTCCACACATAAATGAAATAATATGGTATTTGTCTTTCTTTGATTTATTTCACTTAGCGTAATACCCTCTACGTCCATCCATATTGTCACAAACGGCAACATTTCATTCTTTTCTATGGCTGAGTAAAATCTTAACCCTTGTAATTATGGTTAATATCACCAGTATTAGGATAAAGTTATGTGCCTCCTAATTTGATGTACCGAGAAGGATACAGTGTTTTATGGTATTTCTGTCAAAAATGTAAAGCGTGAACTAACTGTAAGGAAACATCAGACTAACTTAAATTGAAGGACATTCTGCAAAATAAACGGCCTGCATTAAGAAGTCACAACCAATAGAGTAAGGCTGAGGAGTTTTCCATACTAAAGGAGACTGAAGAAACATGGCAATTCGATGTGAGGTGGAGTCCTAGACTGGATTCCAAACCACACACACACACACACACATGCATATAATTTATTTTTGCTATAAAGGATATTAGTGGGATAACTGGAAACATTTGAATAAGATTCACAGATCAGATATTTCTGTACCAATGTTAATTTCCTGATCTTGATAGTCATGCTGCAGTTACATAAAAGAATGCTCTCATTTTTAGGACATACACACTGAAATATTCATCAATGAATCAGTACAATGTCTCCAGCTTACAACTTACTCTCAAATGGTCTAGACAAAAAAGCATCCATCTATCATCTACAAAAGAACAAGTAAGACAGATTGAATGACAGAGCAAATGTGGTAAGATGGTGGCACTTGGGAATCTGGGTTAAGGGTACTCAGAAATGCTTTATATTATTTTTTAACTTGTTCATAAAACTAAAATAAATTATAAATTATAAAATACATTAAAAAATAAAGAATATAGGTTTTAGGGTGGCTGGTGGGAAATATAATTCAGTGTTCACACTTCAACATTATTTCATGCTAAATTATATTTACCTTTGCAGGATGAAGCACAGTGCATTCTTAGAAAGGCTGAACAATTTCATACCTTCCTGCCCCCTCACATACATAGTAGAGGTGAGCTGTTTAACACAGGTCCAGAAAAGAAAGAAGGAAAGGGGAAAGGACAGAGAGATAAAGAGAGGGAGGCAGAAAGATATGAGCCCGAGAATTTCCCTGGCTGGCTGGGAGCCTTTAAATGTGCCTGGATGGGAAAGTTCAGTTGATGCTTACAAACTGTGACCTGAAGCCCCTTCATGATCGGCCTGCCTGGACCGAATGCAGCTGTTCAACACTCCGGG